ATCGATGCCCACGCAATGGGATAGAAACCAATGGATAGGCGAGAAAACCATTGAGGACGCCCGAGGGTTCACGACATTCTCTGCGAGCAGACCTGAATCGAGCTCTGGAAGTCTTCAGAATTCGAAATCGATCGGAGCCATAGAAAGGGCAGATCAGAAATCATTATGCTGATATAGATTGAGCAAAAGGATATGCGATGCTTGATTCTTGTGCTTCGACTGCGTGACGAGAGCTTCATTAACGTGAACGGTAAGGCATTCTTACAGAAGTCTTGAAAAGAATATTTCCATTAATTATTCCAGCCTACAAGAGCCAGTGGTCAAGATGCAGAGCTCCCAGTATCGTTAGATAAGCAAGCCGCGTTCGGATCGGCCGTGATAGCTACCATATTTCTGCCTCATTCTCCATCAGGCACAATCTGATCCGAATTATGTTTCCAATTCGTTCATACGATTTTTTTTCTGCGTCAAGACCCCGCTTAATCTTACAACGATCTGTCAGACAAAACCAGGGCAAACAGGCACCGAGCAAGGTCGCTGAAGCAAAAAGACGGATCCCGGCAAAGCTCATCAGCTCTTTCTGGCTCCGGCAACCTCTCCAGATACGACCAAAAATCCGACACTCCTCAAGGCTCCCTACTCTCTCAAGGGGATACGGTCTGTCCCCCCGAGCCGGAGGAAATGGATGAGTGGAATAGCTCACGCTCAGCAGCGAGGAATCTTCATCCAGATGCCGACGACTGTCCGATCGCGCCGAATGCCTCGCTGTGAGACGGACTCATATGCTCCGTCCCAAAAAAAAAATGTTTCACTAAAACTAAGTCGGGTCTCGTAGCCATTTGTGGGAATTTCGTCGCCCTGGTTCGCCATGAAATGAAGTCTGGCCCATTACTTGCTTCGTGCGACTTTTCCGAATGGCAGTCCTAGCCCACCGTTCACCCATTGATCGCACCTCGTGTTCCCTAGACGTGACGCTTATTTTTCGCGTTGATTGCACGTGCGGGTCTTTCGGAAGCTCTTCGGGATATCTCTTTTTCGTGACTGTATGATGCTCCGTCACTCTTACACGCATCGGGCGACCGATGCAAATGATAGATACATTCGCCATCGAAATTGATCAACTCAAGTCTGGGGCGCGGCCTCAAACAAATGACCACCACAGCTCGGGACACATGTCGCGGACCAGTCGCCTGTTGTGCGCAGACCGTATGTATTTTACAATTCAGTCGCACAGAAAATACCGTTTCACTTAAATCAAATCCGAGCCTCTGGGCGGCTGTAAGCAGTCATTAGCGGCTCCGCTCCAGCGTAGAAAGTAGCTGTGATAAATTATCTGGATTTTTCTTCTGATCGGCTCAGGGCCAGAGTTCAAAAACACCCCAGGGACGGCTTACGTATTCTCCACTCGATTGTGGGCTTATCGGCCACTAAGTCTACACGGAACATCGAGAAAGTAGTACGTCTGGAATTCAGCTCTCACGAATTCCCTCAACTGTTGGGATATGCGATTCACGGCGCGACGCCGCGCCGTAGTTCAGGTGAGAATTCGGGTGAAATGCGAGAAGCTGGTGAGAAAGTAACACATTTCTCGAAGACATCTAACCGCAGTAATTATCCCTCGGCCTCGGGTATACTTCGCGGCGACGTCGCGCCTACTGAAACTGCGGTTTGTCACCCACCCACCCATATTGAATGGATCGTGTACAGAGTCGGAGGCCAGACTTCTTTCTCGCATCCCAAGGATCGGTCCTCCAATGCTGGTTCATGATCTTGGACAAATTAAATGAATGAATATATGAATGGGACACGGCACAATTGGGACCGAGAGTCACGAGGAGAAGAATCAGCAGTGGACGGGAAATAATTCCCCTTGATGAACCGATCCCGTTTGCCTTCAATTATTGTCTCCTTGGATAGAGCTGTATGGAGTGCCGGTAGGAGGCTTCCATCACGGCTCAATCAGCCATCTGGAGTTCGTAGATTTTCTCACTGGGGATCTGCCATGCTTCCTGAGGATCCTTCGGGAGCCGGTTGAGGCGAATCCACTATGCATCTGATCAAACCAGAAGTGTATCGATAGGAAGTCCGGCTACGGATAGTGTGCCGAACGGATCGGGTGGCACACTTACTCTGGGAACGAGGCTCCTCCCCATGAACAGACGGATAGCTTTCATCCCTGTCTCGAGGAGGCTACTGGAGAGTATCAATCCAGCGAAGAAACTAGAGGACAAGCCGGCAGCACTTTGGGAAGACTCCGAAGAGCTAAATCTATGAAAGCGCTCTGTTGGAGGAAGTTCTCCGTTCGGCAAAGATTCCGGACGCGAGAAGTCTATACGCGATCGATCATTGAGGAATCTTACTGGAAAATCAAATTCTTGAAATGAATGCAAGTCCTTGAACCGATGACCTCGTGAAATCGATAAAGCCATATCAGCCTCGCCTGAGACATGGGCCATCGTGGCAACGTTTCCTCACGTGATTGCGCTCGCTTTGGGCGTAGATGTTCGGATCGCCCCCGTATCGATTGATTGCGTCTGTACTCGGTTGGTTGGTCGATTCATTCAACTTCGTTTATTGAACTAGAAGAACTCATTTACATCAGATGCCATGTGCACTTGACGCGAGCCGAATAAGATCCGATTGGTTCAGCGGGAGAAGATCTTGTTCGTTCGGGTGACATAAAACTCGGACGCAGGGACGAACAACATGAAAAGATCTCAGGATGACTATAGGATCGCTCGATCCATCTGCCGACAGCATCAGCTATATACAAGGCTAGCTCTCAACGGAGCAGCATCATTCAAATTAGGAACGTACCTATCTAAGCCCGATGTAACAATCACAACAGCAACAACAACAACTGCATACAACTGCGACCACCACAGCGGTAATAACGACTGAAATGATAATGACAATGAAAAAAAATGGTTCATATAACACTCCTCACGATCCTCAGAGTTCCTTCTTCAATTGCTCCTCGCAATTGTCCGAAGCTTCCAGTTTCCGCTTCATCTCTTTGTCATCGAGAGCGTTTTGCATCTTCAAGAACTTCAGCGGATCGTTGTCCGAACTCAAGGCGCAAGGAGCTCCGGAGAACACGTCGCTGAAAGTCTTCGGTCCCTGGTAGGCCAGTGCATAGAAATTTAGGAACAAAGCTAAACCCAACAGGCCTTGAGGGAGAGCGAAGTAGATGAAGAACTTCGGGTATCCGCATTCGTAGAAAAGAGGAATGATTCCGTGAGCGATCACGAGGAAGTGCTGGTAGATTTGAGCTTTGGTCAGGTATTCCTTCCACCAAAGGTAAGGTCTGAAGTGGGGGCCGAACGATGCGAGGAAATAATACGTGTACATCACAACGTGGATCGAGGCATTGATGCAAAGCCCCAAGAGGGTCTGGCCGTCCATGCCGAGTGAGAGCCAAATGTGTCCACCGAAAATGCAACAGAAATGATGTGAGACATGCTGGAACGTTACGTGATCGTTTTTCTTCCGGAGAAGGAAGAAGATCGTGTCCAGGAAATCCACTGCTCGCACTAACAGATACCACCAGCCGAGTTCTACGATTCGTAGACTCCTCGGATCGGTCGCATAAGTCATTCCCTGACAGAACAGATTGTATCCGCCCAGATAGGAATTGTTGAGGAATTCCACGGCGAAGAAGAAGTTCGACACAATCATGAACAAGTTGTGGAATCGGATCAGCCATCGCAGGTCGTAAGCTTCACGGTTTTTCATGTATCGAGGTAACACTGAGTACACCAGCAGGAGATAACCACCACAAACCACCACTGGGAAATACAGAGAGCCGACAAGGGGCCAGTCCCTCGTTCGAGGGTCGAGTCGGTCGTACACGACCTGTTTGAAGTCGACCAACGCAGCCATATCGCGTCCGTGCGAAGCCGGCCCGTGCACACTATGCAAACTGTCGGGCAAGCGCCATGGGCTTTAAATGGCCAGTTCCCGCTCCAAGTGGTGTTTCAGACGCGACAGGGTGAGGGTGAGCCGCGACTGCAACCGCCGCGGCTGCGGCCCTAACGCCCAGCCGCGGTCGTCGAAGCACAAGGATAATAGTACCTGCGGTAAATATCCAAGGCAGACTTCGAGCTAAACACTATAGTGAGCACTCCCCGATGTGACCGATAGTCTAAGAGACGATTTGGGCTCATGAAAACCTATGGGATCGGTCCTCTAGCGCGGGTTGAATCGGGCGACCATCCGCTCGACAACGCTGGCACGTGCTTCGTCTGTGTTTTCTAACCAGCAGATATCCGATTGACTGATCAGTCTTTGATATCCTCGTGTCCTTCCTAGTCTGATCATTCTCCGCGTCATCATGAAAACTCGGAGACCGGTCGATCCGAATTGGACAGTTGAAACGAGTAGGTTGATATCCGACGGTAAACAAGTCGCGAGACTCAGACTGACCAAAACGACGCGCATTCAATCTTTGAGTACCGTAAATATCCCAGCCTCCCTCCTGTGCAACGCCCCACCCCCTCTCTCTAACGCAAGGTCCCAAACATTGTGAGTTGTGAGGAATAAGCTGATACATATTTCATCGAGACTGTGGTGCTTTGCGTAGATTGCCAAGCTCCATACCCGAGTCAAGGGCTCTCCGCCCTTATTCGGTCATCGTTTTCCGACGAGGAATTCTCCTTGAAATATTTGCGGTATGTACGGAAAATCAACTTCATCTCCGCACTCAATTTCAGGACCATGAGAGGACCAGAATAGAGAATCTGGCTGAATAAGACTGACATTAGGCGGATGCTCTTGTGGGAATATTCCCCGAGTCTGGAGCCAATTCGATGGGTGCGAGGGCGTTGGGGAAAATAGAGCGCGAAAATTGATTTCGCACCGCATCTTGATGATGAATTTTCCTTTCCGAGCATTTCGATTGCATGATATCGCTCCCGATGATCACAAAAACGAAATCCTCGGGTGGGACGCGAGCTTTGACGAAGGAAGAGCTCGAAAGCAAAGTGTCGGTCTCATGATTTTCACGCTCTTATCAAGTGTGGCGATCTATCATCCTTCATCTATCATCTATTATGATATTACGCCGGCCGATTGTATGCGAATAGGTAGATTCATCACCGTTCAGAGACGCTCAGAAACGATGCAGTGGGTCTTAGTTAGCTTCGCCTCCCTTGTGTTACAGTTTCACGCACGAAAGTCTTTCCCTCTCCTGACTGCGTACGATAACTATCGAATAATGAGCGCCGGGCTAATTTTGCCTCGGTGGCTGCGCTGCCGAACTGTTTGTGTTCCAGTGAACACAAGAGCTGCAGCCGCAGCGTCACCGACAACGACAACAACATTAACTTTCTCATATATACGGCCTTACTGATAGCGTTGTCTAGCCGCCGTCCAGCAAGTTCATTGACTCGCCGCGAGTTGGCGGCAGGGCAGACATGGTCATTGCGGGGCAGACGGCCGTCTGCGAGCAGCGCTTACTTGAAACAGCCTTCGAAGAATGAGCGAACGATGGAATGAGCGTTCGACGAAGTCGTCGAACAAGCCGTTGACTGCTACGTCCGAAGTAGCCATGCCCGAATGACTGATTTTCCCTCCGAACGATCCCACTGTTCCATGAAAGGGGGGAGTCGAATGCCAGACTCGAGCTGAGAGAAATATCTTCTGAAGCTATGGAGACCTTGTCGCGTCCTTCCTTAGTAGGGCTTCTTAGTAAGTCTCAGTAGGACTTGTTCACAGCTGGGAGCTGAGGGAGATTAGCGGCCGGAGGATGTTTTCAGTGAAAATACGTGAGCCGTGGGTCGGGCTGCCCGAAAGCTACCAAGCCAAGAGCTATACCTGGCATCACGGGCTGAGTTTAAGTGTTCGGTGAGAGAAAACGAGGGAAAACGATCAAGACGGGGAGGAAAATGCCCTATCTGTATTCGGTGAAAGAACTTCAAGCGAACGCTAATCCGTAATCGGTCTCGGCAGACGGTGCCACTATTGGATGAAGCATGGATCGCAAGTGGCTTGTCATTAACGCCGGGGCTCATGTAGAAGATAAGCAAGTTTAAATCCAATGGTGGTCGTAGTCTTGAAGCCCGAAAGCATGTTTTCGTGCGACGATAACATATTTGCCGTGCCCGACTCTCAGGAAAGCCGCATAGTCAAGGTTGATTTCAATCACTCTTCTCGCCCAAACAAATCCACCAAATTGAGCTAAGAACTCATTGTCTCGGCGGTGAAAGTGAAACTCCGCCGTACGAAATCGACAACAAACTCTCATATCCACTGCGCCAGTACCGGCGAGCTCCGCCGTAGAAGTGAGCGGCCGTCTCGCGCTACAACTCTACCTGGTGAAAAACCTCGGTGATAATTATTGTTGATACCGAGGACCTGCCCATCCTCGTTGGGGTAACTGGAAACTTCGTCTGGGAACAGCGCGAAGCCCATCATTGATCGTGGACCGGCTGACGGGGCAGCTCGAGCCCGATTACCGAATCAACGGCTTATCGACGGACGACGCAACCCAGAATAGTTATCCGCCAAAAAGCTGAGCTTCCGATCCAGAAGAGAATTTCGTCACCATCCTGACGAGAGCTTGCAACAATGGGCGATCGTGGCGGCGATGACGAAGAGATCAGGCGCGGTGGCGCTCGAATTTTCTTGGAGAAGAAGGAGCTCCCGCTAGAACAGTATGCGAGCCGTCAGCTTGCTACGCACCCCAAGATAGCTTCGACATTTAAGTTCCGATGTTGTCCGCAATGAATTCGTCGGGAATCATCGGCCTTTCCGCGGCGCTCTGAAACTGAGGAAAGCTGGCCATAATGGGGTCTTTGCCCATATGGTCGCCGACGTGAGACGTTCCAGTTTTCGGTCTTACAGCCAAAGACATGACAATGCCCCCCCGGCGAACGAAAGTGAAGTGAGCCCTGGAAAGTTGAGAATTCGCTGATTTTTATGCGGTCTTATGGTTCATCGCTCATGCTCGCCTGAGAAGTGCCCGAATAAGTCGCGCATCGGCGTCCCACAACGAACAGCAGAAATCAATGCTTCAACGAAGAACACTGTGCGTGAGGAGAAAAGAAGAACAAAATGCTTTCGCAAGAACGTAACTAAGCTGGGGCCAGCCGGCGACCGATTTCGAAAATAGCCGTTGCACACGCGCGCTACAGCGAATATCGACAGAAGACGGCGGCTGTCTAGACACAACAACTCAAGTATCCGGGTATAGGCGCCGTATAATAACCAGTGCGCTCCGCAAAGGTCGCAGCGAAGTAATTCAAAATTACGCAAGATCTCTACGCGCTATTAAATAGCGACGCCCTGCTCAACACGATCAGGAGCGGGTTTCGTTCGGACGAAGTTTTCTCGACTGACGAATCGACATTCCCAATACTTATTACGTGCTGCTAACACCGATTACTTTCGGTCGAGAGCCAGCTTCGATCTCTGATAGCATTCGGAAGCATCCGCCGCTGGGAGCGCGGTTTGCTTCAACAAGATTCGTGGGTCGCCATTCGCGAAGCATATATCTGTTGCCGAATAACAGCTCCATGCCGGTTCTAGCTCGAGTTTTAGCTGATAGCGAAAGATAAGTTTCTTACATTCGTCAGGAGAATTTGAAACCAGGGGACAAAGAGGCTTCGATGAGCCCGACGGCAGCGTGTGATTGCTGTTTTCGGATTACGAACGCACCGGTCGCCTATGAAATCTGCAATGTTTGTCGATAAAATTCATTGATCGCAGACATTTTTATCGTTTCCCCGAGCATACGATCGCGTGCCATCTCATGTGCAGCCATCTGACGGAGAATGGAAGCGAATGACTCAAAGCGACACAACTTTTCCCTTTCCTTGCATGGAGCAAAAACAAATGCTCGATTTCAGAATCACGAATCTAGATGTATTCTTCCCCGGACAATCGCTTTGGGAGAGGAGCTCCTCGATCGTCTCTGCATCCGATCCGAAGAATACAATGCAGAGCCTCTGCTGCCGCTCGCATAACAAGTCGTCTACTGTCAATATTCTCGTTGCAACGAACAAGCTACCATTGGCTCGAAACGAGACAATTAATCAGTGCAAGGTCTACCCGGCCCTCACGATTTCTGCCTTCAAGCTGGCCGCGCTGGAAGCATGGCTGAAGCGTGATTTGAGCCGTACGTTCTTTCCACGGCTTTCTAATTGCTCCTCAACTGCGGCGGAACGCGGTCTTATTCTCCGGGAACGGTCGATTTCACGCTTAGGGTTACCCGAAACTAAGCCGACGCCTCGGAATCACATATCTGCGATGCCGTCACATGAGGCTTTGGAGTAGGAAGCGGGCCCGCTCGCATCGATCTGCACAAATGAAGCACCTGGAGCATTGTACTTGTCGTCCGACAAGTTCTGGTCAACTTTCGGGCAAATGACCCCGGTCCGAGGGAGGATGGAGCCTTTTCGTGCTGACGATGAGGATGATTACCCGTGGAAACGGGCAGTCATCCCCGGTCCTGTGAACAACTGCTTCGGAGACGCCTCTCCATCATATCGGAGGGTAGTCGGAGCTTGGACAGCCGTGCATCCATAAGATTCTCCTCGGAAGCTCCCGAAATGCATTTTAGTATCATCCGGCACGGTATTCCTCTTTTCATTGTTTGTGGAGAAAGTCTCGTCGAATGGGCTGCCGAATGAAGCCCCGAATTCGCATCGGCGGCTCCGCGAGAGCTTCCCCGACTCCAACTTGGATGGTCTGGGCGATCAAGCAAGAAGCGCTTTCTCAAGTCCGGGTAGAGAAATTCCCTCTTCGGCACCCGTTCAAGTCTCTCTTCGCTCTTGATGTTTTAAACTTCATACATAAGTGAATTCTTTGAATTGGGCAGCTCTGTCGAGCGGAACTCAGGTGCCGATCAGTCACAATTTACAAGGCGAACTTGCGGAGAATCCTGGAGAACCCACAGTCGCCCATTCGAATGACTATCGGACTTGACAATGAACTTCTATTCGGAAGGCATTTAATCTATGAACTCACGAAAGCGTGAAGGAAACAACGGAAACGCGGAGGAAACGAAATTTCCAAGTGCGAATCGCTCAACCAAGGGTTAGTGTGGTCTGTCGAAACTCTGAATCGATCTCGGGGCTCTGAAGTGTCTGGCCGAATTCATTCTCCCAGACCTTCGATCAATTCATGAGGGTGGTACAGTGAAACACGGCGGAACCAAGCAACCGTTTGCGGTGATCGGAGGCTCGCTCGATACCTCACACATTCTTCGCGAGCAGGAGAGAAAACTGAATTCATTCAATTCGATGGCCAACGCTGTCATTCAATCGCTCCCCGAATCCCGAGCTTGGAGCGGAGACGCCACACCGATATCAATGTGGTTTGGAGTCCCTCGGGCAATTTCAATCTTGTTGGACCACAAAAGAGATAACAATGTCTTTTGAAGAGTCTCCCAAGCAACGACTTGTCATTTTTCCACTCCATATAGTTTAGGTTGCAGCAGCTTAAATGCCATCAATAAAATACTCCTCCGAGACGCTCGGCCGAGCAATCACAATAGATGTCTCCCTTCCAAAAACCGAAAGCTATTATAGGGGGAGTTCTGAGCAATGAAATATATATTCTGATTGGAATGAATCACAATCACACAACTGTTAATTACAACAATTGCTTTATTTTATCACTCGGCCTGTAGGCAATAACATGCTTTCGCTACTCGGGGATTCCGGAACATTGATCGAATCGAACGTACTATTGATGGACAGAGGTCGGAGGAAAATAACTAATTGTGAGACATTGGCAGAATTGCAGCAATGACGCGATGCAAAAACTGCATAAAAACGATGGACAAAAGCAGTGACGCGCGAATCGAACGAGTGCCCGAAGCAAAAACGCTAAACAATCTGATTGGAAAATCCTCGCGTGCGGAACTCCGTCTGTTGTTCGGAGAGGTTGGAAACGTGATCGAATGTTTTTTTCCCGATCGTAGTTTCCGACGATGTAGGGATGACCCGAGGAGTGATAAACAAAGCTCCGGACGACTGCAAGCTTGGTAGGGACAATTCGAAGTTCACAAAGCTCGATGATTCTCCAGACACGTCGGATCGGAGCATCGGCATCCCCATGAATAACATCCATCGAGGTAAATTAGAGCCGCGGCTGAGGGTTCTCATTCGAGCCGCGCTTCCTTTCGAGGTCTTTGTTGTTCCATGCTTTCTTCGAACAACTCGAAAGCGGTGTTGGTCTTTGTGGTCAGACCGAATGGGAACTTCCTAGAAAAATGGGAAAAAATCCAGGTATATCGTAGGGAGACATCTGAACTTCCAGGGGCTCCACAATTATAATGTCCGGGATATTGTTCGCTCGTTCACGATGTATGAGATTCTCGAGCTCCTGCTCGAAATCCGTCAATTACTGCGTTCATCTCCCCCCCCCCCTAAGATTGAGGGGGGATATGAACGCACAAGGCGGGCCAATGTAAGCTTGAGAATTCGCGATGTGAATTACTTTCAAAAGCTTGTCTGGTTTCATAAGGAAGATTGCAGGGACACTCTCACGGAGCGAGACGTCTAGACGATCGATCACTCACCGGCAAGTTGTCACGTTTGCTCGGTAGATTGTGACTATAGCCCCCACGCGGAGCATAGCCCTCAGATCTTCGGACGGCCGCCAGACAGTGAGCGGGACTTCGATATTGCTCAAGGAGCAACACACCATCAGCTAACGGGGGAAATTCTGGCTCGTTACATCTACGAACGGAAGTCGCGCTCGGACGACTCCTACCGCAAGACGAACATGATCGACTCGGGCATTCCATCTCATTCAATGTTTTCTTCCTCACATTCCAAGGGATCATCCCTTGTCGGGGTGAAATCAAGAAAAAAATGTTCTCCTGCTTGTAAACAAACCTTGAGCAATGGGGCGACGATTCTTTCCTGTGGACACTCATGACGCTGTTTCATCTCTTCGAAACGCCGGCTCGTTTCCTCTCGTAGCCTTTCCAAGAACTTGTCCTGCGACGGAATCAAAGTTGTTCGTCCTCGGCGAACACTTCATCATGTGTAACAGGAGCGGAGCTTCAGGTGCGATAGGAGAGTTGGGTCTCGCTCGGACTCACCTCTACAGTCCTTCGATAGCTTTCCAAGGACCGTCTTTGCGAAGAACTCAACTCCTCCATGAGCTGTGTGGGGTCGACGCTGCTCTCCAACGCGCTATGGATCTCTTCACCTGCGCCAAAAAATCCTGGGACTGCCCTTGGATGGAACTTCATGAGTATGAAGGACCCCGGAGAATCGTGCACGCCTCAAAGTACCCAAGCGACACTCTACCCTGCATCGAAGGGTCCAACACCCACCTGTTCTCAACTTCGCCACGGAAGGCTTCAAACGCGACCGGGTGCGAGTCACTCGTTTGGAGTTTTGCTCTAATTCCAATTCTCTCAAAACTTCTTCGCGTATCTGGAACAAGTCGTTCAGGTCGAGTTAGTCTTCGGGACACTGGACTTATGGGGACGAGGAGAGCAGACAATTTTCAAACGAGAGTGGAAGACTCTGCCTCATTGTCACAGCTCACAGAGATCCCTCTTGGAGTTATACAGATTCGCTTCCGCGATATCATACCGATCATGCACTACCTTCTCTTGGATCGATTCGATCTGCTCGCAATAATTTTTCCGCTCCTTTCGCTCCGCAGCCTCCGGCCGCACGATGCTGCCGCCCTGAGAGAACTTCTCGAAGAACATCAGAGGTGAGCACGAAGAGATCTGAAACTCGGAGGGGAACATTATCCTGAGAAGGTTCTCCTCCGTTTCGACCGGGATATATCGAGTAAAAATATTGTACTCACTTTGACTCTAACTGCGGGTAAACAACCCCCATCGAGCACCACGGAGAAGAGAGGAACTAGAAGACTTTTCTTCAGATAGCCCATTTTAGCGTACCACCGAGCTCTTCGCGTCGAATTATATCGTATCGAGAGTCTGCACGGATAATAGGTAGAGATAGATAGATATCAAGAGCGGGATCCGGGTCGGGAGCCGAAGCCTGGGGATATCAGCAGGACTGTTGCTCTTATGATTGGTCTGCTCACCTCGCATCTTCCAGCTGAAGAGGATCCACCCCGTTCGGAGCTCCCCTGAGCTGTGCTCCACAGACGCAGAGTTTCTGACCGATCCGAAGCAGTCCCTTCGTCATCAACGACTGGAGAGGACCGTCTACGTCGCAGGGAACCGAGTACCTGACAAGCGAGAGTTCTCCTTTAGCCCGAAAAATGTTGGAATTCGTTGATATCAGCCCGTTGCGATAGTTTCTGTTCGGGAAGCTGATCTCGCAAACGGTCTCGCGAGTTTTGAGGAAGATCTCACCATCCATCCGATACGATCAAATACTTGGACTGTACATCTTTGACCAAGAGCACTAATGTAGCCTCAGCCGGAGCGTCACGTTCGACTGAAATCGAAGTATGGTAAAAATGGACTGTCCCGCGCGAGATTTCCGTTGTTGGAGAGCTCCGGCCGTATGTTGAACTATATTATTATATGATACATGATCGATTCAGGGGACCGGGGAAGATGTTCATAGCGTTCAAGGGTAATACCGCGAGGGTACTCCGAAGCGGGACTGCATGGAGTAATTCCATGGGATCGGAGGGGGAGGATGCGAGTTGCCAGCGACACTAACCAATCATTCTCAGGGGACTCCTTTGGCCGTTCAGTTCCACGTTCCACCGGTGTTCTAATTGATCCAAAACATTCTCGAAGATCAAACAGCCTGCCAATTCTTTGACACGACTGCTGTAGCTCGCCAACTTCCACACAACCTGAGGAAACGAAGCCACGATCAGGGAGAAGAGCCCGAAGATTAATGCAGGGATTCTCGTCCTACGTATTATGATTTCGCTTGCGGTGTGCCTCGCTCACCATCTCGAAATGATTCGCGAACCATGAGTCGAAATTGGACGACTGAACTTCGATTTCCCGCCTGAAACTCCGTTTGACATCGTCGAGGTAGACAATGCGACCGCTAATATCATCCCGAAACCTGGAAATGAGCTGAGCTCAAGACTCTTTGTCTGAACATTCGACAGAAAAGTTCTTATTTATCGCGTTGGGGCGTAAGCCAAGCTGTTTCCTGGAAAGGTATCTCCGGGTATCTTTCCCCGCCCCGACAGGATTTACTGACCTGGAGGAGTCGGCTTGGGCGCAAGCATTGTCAATCAAAGTGAGATCTGTGAGTTTCTTCCGGTACGGAGTGTGTTCCCCTGTCCCCGTTTCTTTCATGCCCTCCAGGAGACGCGATTTCTTGATCAAGCACTTCTCTTGTTGAATGGATCGCGAGGGAGTCGATGCACTCAATTTGGATGCATTGGAGTTGGATGATCTTGAGGGTGCTTGTAGCGGCGTTATGGGGGAGCTCAACAAGTTCAGCGGCGTTTGACACATGGGCGTTCGACGCTTGAGCCCTGTAGCATTGACGATACGGTTATTCGAGCAGCTGAACCGAATTGTGACATACCGTGATGATATTTTGGAAATCATCGAGAGGACACATACCGGCGATTCTCCTTGCGGGAGTTTTGGAATCTTGGATTCGGTCCTTCGAGATATCCCGGACCGGGCATCTGCTATCCGATTGAGCGTCTGTGTGGGACTGTGCTCCGGACAACCGCTTATCCTTCCCTTGATCGGTATCTTCCAACAATTTTCTCGCGTTATCCATGTTCTCCGTGGATATCAGCATGGATTCACCCCGCGCTGTGGAGAATCCCGAAGCCACGCGAGCTTCCGTCTCCTTTTTCGGCTCCTCAATGTGACCGTCGTCGTCCGGAACCTCAGAAAACTCCTCCCGGAACATCAGACGGACCTGTTTGAGCGCTTTCTCCGAGACCTTCTGGGCCGTGCCCCGGGCCGTTCTGAAGCCCAGCACCGGCGTCGATTGGTTCCTGTATCCCGAGCTCCCCGATGGGATGATCGGTTTCGAGGTCGATGGAGCCGTCGGTTTCCTCTCGGGATCGTCAACCCGGAACTCTGGTAAAGGCTGCGAGCCGGCTCGATCGTCGGCTCTCTCTAGAACTTTCTTGCTCGCACTCAGAGCCCCGAGAGATACCTTCACAGCATCGCCTCGTCCGCTCTTGAAACCCGTGTCAATTTCGGCAGTCGGAGTGCTCTGCGTGGGCGGAGCGCTAATGTCCTCCAACTTCTTCCTGGCCGCCTGAAGAGCCTCGTACGAGACGCTTGTGCTTCTACCGCCGGCGGTTACGAAAGCGCTTTTGAGCTTCGGAGGTTTGCGCTTATCGCTCGTAGGTGGGGGACCAGTCGGGTCGTCTCGTAAATCGTTGCGACTCGGCGCGAAGGCTTGAGTCTGCACTTCGCTAAAAATAGCGTCGTCGTCGTCATCGTTTCCGTGGGACGAGCCCTTGTCTCCGGCGCGAGTTCCATCATTAGCTCCCGCTGAAAATCAAACAACTTCAGTGAAGCTCGGGCAGCTCATCGTGATCGACTGGGTGTTGCAATCGCTGATCTGACGAATTTAGTTCCGCTCCTCGATAGAGCGATCGATATAAATAGAGTAGCATGAGTTATTTATTCCCAAAGCACAACCTTCTCTGGCATCGGTCGATTGCTCGCCCGCTTGGGACTCATCGAAGAGAGTTTCTCTTTCAGCGACGCAATCCGCGAGGGGTCGTCGCCGCGCGCCTGACGCTGTGAAGGGATCAGACTCATTGGATTAGGGAGGTGCATAATACATGCGTAGTTTGTGTAGGAATTCATGATTGATATATCTGTCTCGGAGTCGGCTTCCTTCCGGGAAGGCAACGATTTATGGTCGCGGACATGTCGCGAGTGAGTAGATTGCCACTGCAAATCTTTGGCGCTCCCGAGGACGCTCAATTCAAACAACTCTTACTTGAGCTCGGGACATCAGCCGACGACTGAGAGGAAGAACTTTCGGGTTGGAACTTATTCAAAATTTGTCGCACCACGATGATGAATGGAGCACGCTCCCGTGTTCCGGACATGATTCTCTCCTGTTCCGAGATCGTTGCTCATCGAGAGTCGAGCGATGTCACGCCTAAGCTCACATTCCAAGCCGATTTCTTGTTTGAACTCCCGTTCGGAATCAAACCTCGAAGACAGCTGATCGAATCAGATGTCGAAGAGAGGAGCGACTGCTCCCGCCAAAAAAAATGAGCGCGAAGCGGAATCAAAACAAAACAGAGCAGAGCGCCGACGGGTGGACGGGGCGGTCGTCCTGGCGTGAGGCTCGTCGACGCATTCGCGTTCGTCTCGGAGTCGACCTGAGAATCATCCCCCGAAAATCCGGGGTACACGTATAGAGTCTTGCTGTCCTGTTTTCCGATCATCTGACTGAGAACAAATGCCCGAGAAGGCCTGTGAGAATTTCCAATTTTCGGCTTCTTCGACGTGCCATCGTGGAGAAATCGGAGGCACTCCTCGAATCGAGAGGCCCGGATTGGATTTTGTTTTCGAGAGAATGAAGCTCATTCTGTGGGCAATCGGAGGCCAAGCTCGCAGTGAAAGCTCAAGATAAGAGGGCGTAATAGATACTGCGTAGTGATACCTCTGCTCCGAGAATTCTCTCGCTCAATTCTCCCCCTTATATCATATAGGTACTATAGTTGACTCTCTCTCTCGTGTATTCCCCGAAATTGACAGTAATTCGTCCTTCTCATCCTTGTCGGCTCCGATTTAGAGGGACTCCTGAATAAAGAAGAGTGACGATCCGAACCTCAGGCGGCGGTATCCCAGAAAATCAAGATTATTGATCGCATTCAGGAGATATCCGACATATGCTTCAGATCTACTGCAGGTATAGGATTGGGGCGGTGCGGACCTCTCCGAAAAGCGTCCTGGTCGCCAGATCTTGAACATGAATCGATATCTTGCGCATCCATGAATTTCTTTTCTCATCGGATCATGGAGATATCACAGTCCTCCTTCCTGTCCTCCGGGGGTCGGAGGGGACGTGAGCAAGGAAAACTCCATGTCCTTCGGGTTTGAGCTATCATCTGTTCCTTCACAGACGAGCATGGGAGTCACCTAGAATACTTACGGTGGAGACTAAGGATTTAGAACACAGAGAGAATATTGAATCAACAAAAATTTATTACCTTCAACATTCTCGCAGAGTTTGCGGCCGCTTCCTTCGGGAGAAGCAGTCTCCCAGTTCGAATGGACCGCTACCCGCGTAGTGCCGAAATCCCAACACTGCCCCATATGAACCATTTCTGAACTTAAATCCTCATTTTCCTTAAGCAAGATTTTTTTTCGATAATGTAAATGCATAGCGGGGGAGGCGTGGAAGGGGAGAGGACTTGTGTTAATATTGTGGAGCATGTGGCTTCATGGCACTGAGCTACGTCTGAAAGACGTGGTGCAAAACCTCTCCCGCTCCAAGTCGAGCCGTCGCGGGTGACGCTTGTCTTCTCCGACGCTACTTATGATGAAGCTCTCTCAGGATTCAATCCCTAGCAGGGAGCCATCGCTCCCGCTAAGAGGGTTCTTGACTCGGATTCAATCGACCGGCAGTCCCCAAAGCGAGGCAGTTTTATCGGCTGAACTGGTGATGAACGTGAAGTCGGTTGGATGCCACCTTGCCTGGATCACTTTGTCCGTATGCTCGGCCACTACAATCGAGGGTAGCGGCTGCGTAAGGTCACCCTGGAGATCGCTCAGAACGCATTTTCCGTCGTACGACGCAGTCAGCAGATAGTAGGCTTTTGGGGAGAACCTCACGGAGCGAATGTCGGAAGTGTGAGGTCGGAAGCATTGGATCACTCGGCCTCCGCGGATGTCGAACAGCATGCACGTCGCATCTTCGTGACCAGAAACCAACATTCGACCTGCAACCGAATTCATTGTTAGGACGACCTGCTTCCGTTCAGCTCCTTCGAGGACTCGTACCCTATGAACCTCATGAAACTTTTTCTTCCTGCATCGATCTCCATCATTCGATTAGGTACGAAAATTCCTGTGGATTTCTATTGCCTACCTGAGGGATCGACTGAAACACTGGCCACGGGACTTCCTGGCCCTGAGCCGTGAGCTGGTGGAGCAGTCACAAGGTTGGTACATCCTCGAGTCCGCAGGTCCCAGAAACGGATTGTTCGATCCTGTGAGCCGGAGACAAACATGGCTCCGCCCCAAGTGAACAAGGAGAGAATGTGACCTGGGAAATGAAGCGACATAGGATTTTCTAGAGCTATGTTCGGAGGGATCTGACGCTTCCCGCGTTGTATCCATACGTTCAGAACTGGCATTGTGTGATCAAACATTCTCTCGTCCCGGCTGCTCGATCCGAATAAAAAGCGCCGCGAGTCTCGGGCGTGTCTGTCAACAATCGGAGCAGGCTTCCGTACGAAATCGGCGCTCATCGCTCCGCATATGAACAGGAATAGAATAAGGGACAAAATCTTTCGGAGAAAATCGTGAGATCATCGATTATTCTGGTCGCGGATTCGGCCGTTTAATCGCCTCCTACACTTCTGAGCGAACACCTGCCGACATCGTGAAGACCGAAATGGCCTTCGACGGGAGCCACAGGAGCATTACGCGAATGGACGCGTCCATGCGATATCAACGAGTTCCTGGTGCAATCGTTCGAAACTTGTTCTAGAGCGTCTCCGAGGATCGCGGAGAGGCCGAGAGCGTTTGAAGGACCAAGAAGTCAGGGTTTTGTCACGGAGATGAACGATTTATGGGAAGGTATCGCCCAGAGCTCAGAGGAGTGATTCCGTCGCCATCTCACCTGAATGACCGCTCAGAGATTGGAATGGCGTGGCGGTTTCACAGTCGGTTATGTAGATTTTGTTATCTCCAGCTCCCCCGGAAATGAGGAGCGAGCTGCGGTTCGTCAGATCTTCGACAAAGCACAAGTCACGGACGGTCCCATCGTGCATTGTGAGTTCAGCTTCGCCAGCATGGTCCATGGTGCAATCGTCTTCATTGAAACGAGTCAGTTTCACCTGGGAATATATCACCGGAGGATCGTAGAGTGAGTCGACCGAGAAGGGAGAGAAGATGAGGGGACTTCACGCCTAGAGCTTTTCTCTTCAAACGGCCTTACTTGACTACCGGAATCTTATTCTTATTTTTCGGATGAGAATATCAACTCTCGAAAGCTTACGGTTTTGTCGTTCGATCCGGTAGCCATGAGCTCTCCCGTTTGATTCCATGCGAGACAATAGATCGAACCCTTGTGGTGTTTGAGTTTCTTGTGGGGAATCGATGGCTGTGTCGTGAGATGACTCTCTCTGAAAATCACGATGAAAATTAGTCCTCAAGCGGTTGATATGAACTGGGGATGGCATATGACAAATCATAGGAAATTCTTAATGACCCCATCACAGAGAGATGGAGCAAATCATGGCTCCTACCGGAGATCGTCCACATGCGGGTAGGCGCAGATCCGCAGCGTTTTCGAGTTGCTGCCCACAGCGTAGTACTTCCCAGAGGGGTGGAAATCGATCGCCCGTACAACTTGCGCATCTTCGAGCGTTGTGACCGGGATGAATTGGGCGCGTTCATCAGTCCCAGCCTCACGGGGTTCGTGACGAATATGATTTGAGCCCTGGTTGCTCGGATACTGAGGAAGAGAGAGATTACGCTTAGACACACTTCCACATCGAGAGGTGAAGTTGAGTAACCGAATCACTGCCGGGAATCATCGGAGATCGGATTCCACAGAAGAATCGTCACACTGGCCGAATCTATCTATCCTCGCTTCTTTTCAGTCTCTGCCAGTCTCATATTCAGATTCACGCACTCTTCATCGTGAGCCCGTGATAATCTTTCGCGGGTATCGTCGTTCTGCAGCGTGCACGTGATTGGAAGGTCCGTCATCGATGGTCCTTCTTGCTGGAGCGGTCTGAGAGACAATAGCCTCCGCTTGAAGGAGCACCCACACTTTGTCGGCGAGGAGCCAATCGAGGTACTAAGCGATTCTCGAGCCATTCTCTTCCCACCTGCCCCGAGCGAGAACCAGACCTATCAACGAGATCTATCGGATCTTCGGAAAGCTGACTCTGGACGAGGACATGGGGAAACCATTCCTTCCGGATGAAATTTCTTTCACTGTACGATGTGCTGCGAGCAAAGGGGCTCGATTCGAGCCGATATAGCTCCCGATACATTATCTGATTCCGTATACGGGATTCTTTTGAGGTATGAAAGATTCTTATCGATCGACGAATTATCATCAGTCCCCGGTATAGATCTGACTTCACAAATCGGACGGATAAAAGCTTATGGGTAGCGAGCTGAATCGACCAATATAGCCCTTTCCAAACTGTTGACAACAACAACAAAAACACTCCGACGACGACAGCGAGGCACAGGGCATGCATAGTTCGCACTGAATATTTGTGAGAGCTCTGGTTCACGCGTGAGCCATTCGGACGCTGGCCGATAACGCCCTCCGGGCCGACCCGAATGAAGTAAGGACTGAAAATATTTCTTTCCCGACACATAATCCGGAGTATCTTCCTCTCATCTGGACGCTTGTGGACGAAACTGCGGGACTGCTTAAGCAAAATGGAAAAAATTACCAAAGTTTGAAGGGCTCTCCGGCGCTTTGATCGGTCCTCAGCTATACCGCGCGGGATCAGACGGAAACCCAGTTGAGCGTACGATGGGTAAGCGAATCGACTCATGTTGGAAGAAACACCACCAGCAACATCAACAACAAATCCACCACGACCACCACCGCCCTCACCAACGCCTCACAACGAGAAACAACAGCACCTCATGACTCCATGAAAGCCGATGAACAAGTGAATATTTCCCGCGCGTTCATTGCAAACTTCTCGCGGTTGAGCACCTGCCGGGTCATTCCGGGATCACAGAAACGCTTTTCACAACAAACGGCTGTCAGATGGGGATTCCAGCCAATACGGTGCGCCAACTCCAATCAAATGCTCATGGAACGACTCCAGCTAAGGCTCATTGCATTGAGACCCAAAACAATTCAGAGCGGAGTGCAGTTCTGCGTGAGATGCCACACCGCGTTCGACTGTTTGTAGGGAGTCTGTCAGGATGCTATGTAGGTAAGCGATACATGTGGGCGGGCTGATAGATCGCTGGATCGACGGACGGTTGGACGGACGGGCGACAGGCGGTCGAAGGAACGAACGAAGTTGTTCGGCCTAGGTTGGCCAGCCACAGAGAGGATCCGCTCAAAAGGGAAAGAGAGTGAACGTTGACAGCCGGCTTGTTGTCCCGAGAGCCGAAATCAAGCAGCGCTCTCCCGCTGGTTTTGGCAACTAACACGTTGCTCGAACAACTCCCGAAACTGGCTGCATGACTATCACCGAGAGAGCTCATTCATCCATTGCAGGCATGGGAAAGAATACGCGAAGGACGTTCCAAGCACGGCTTGTCGCCGCTTCCTCGTTGTACCTAAATTCTCGCTGGTCCTCCGCATTCCGTGTTTAAGACACCCATGACAGCGGTGGTTCGCTGATTCGAACAGTCGAATAATTAAAGTCGCTGGATTGATCGGCTTGAATCGAGATCGTACTATCGTTTTCCTCAAAAAAGATTTTCCCGAAACGACATCTGTTCCCCTCGCCGTCCGCGCCTACTGGCGACGATCGGGAAAGTTGCTCGGCAGCGAACGAGTGAAATCAATCAAGCCGCTCTTTCGCTCTCCGAATCGACAGAATTGCTTCGTTACCGCAGCAGAAAAAAGTCTGTCTGCTGCCGTGAGGAAGACTGGGAAGTCTTTCGGACGCCGCACGCCTAAGCGATTAAATGGGAACATTTCCATGAAACAGCGAGACTTGGGAAAAGGTATTCGGTGATGCGGTAACTTCTGCCGTGGAAAAACTCGATCGCATCACGCCAAACCCTACCGAGTAGAAGTCAGGGTCAAAAAGTAAACGGTTTTGACCGCTCCCCTTCTCCGTAGGGCGAGTTGCGTATCATCTTCAATGAGAAGTAAATCGAGGTGATACGACGCACCGGAGCTCTGACCGCCGGGTTCCCACAACCCTCAGTGAGAGCGATCTTCCATAAGACCGAGAGTCGGGAATCAGCGCTGGATTTCGAGCCGACCGCCCGGAGCATGATTTTATTTTCATAGGCGCCAATCAGGACTGCGGGTCACCGTCCTTCTGGGGAGAGAACGCACAATTTTTCAGTAGAAACGAGCCGAACGGAAAAGATCCTTAAGCGTCTGCTCGGAAATACAGTGGAAAGCTTGATTATTTCCATGGATGAACTTTTAGTGGGACGCTGTACCGTCGCCGAAGTGATCCTTTCCGTCGCAGCGTATCAGCGAGACTTGTTACAAGGAAGTTCGTGGACGGTACAATACGTGCCAAGCTAGATGCTTTCCGTGTAATAATTTTCGTCTTATTAAGGAACGATTTATCAGTTTTCAATTCGCCCGACATCCGACTCGGGTTGATGATATAATCGATGCGAAAATTCAACCATTAGTATTCGATTCGGTCATGTGTCAAGCGGGCGCGCAGTGAGCGACTCCAGTAAATCACATCCGCCACGCTAACAAACCGATCAAGAGGAAGGCGCCATTCCCCATGGCGGTCACGACGACATTGTCGTTGGCGTTGGTTTCCTGCTACGATTAAGAATCAGTTGAGCACGAGCGTTCCGATCCAAGCCCGCTATCGTTAGGACATCCCAATCGGTCGTTTCCCATTATGCGGTCTAGAAGCAATAATAATAATAATATAATAACGTAATAATAACGTTACTATAAAAATCATGATGATACTAATGAAATCAGGCGTATACGACTATGATGATCTTGACCAGGGTTCCCGCCTCTGATTTTGGTGAGTGCCGAATTTCCCGAGAGCCCCATCATAAAATTGGGCAACTCGCAGGATGTAAGGTTACTCAGAGTCCGCTCTACGGACCCAAATGCTCTCGATTGTTTCGATTTGGGACTTTGTTCCACCGAGGGAAAATCCACTGATAAAGCTGTCAGACGACTTTATACGCCGCTCGCGGGAGGTATCGTTCGAGAAGAACCTATCGTATCGAAACTACGATTCGGCTTCGACGGCTTCATGGGCTCCGTATCTATACGGAAGTGATCTCCTCCGGCAACCGTCCGGGCTGTTTCATGACCCTGTACACCGAGTGGTTTTACCGAAAGCTTGATTCGCTACGGTAGATTTTCCGAGAGTTCTAAAGCGCGTAAGGTCGATATCGAGCGCACAATCGCAATACGATGAAATAAAATCAAAACAAAGCTTGTTATTGCTGCTGTACGCATCGACATTGCTGTTTCGTTGGGAATCACAGTATTTCTCAGTAGTAGTATCCTTCATTTAGGCTCAGTCACGAAGGACCTTGTGATATTGTTCTCGGTGTCCTATCCCCTTGCCACCGAAACTGCCAACGTCGGTACGGCCCATTGTAGGCAGCGAACACAAGGCCGTTTCAGGCCAGTGGCTGTTTGAGGATTACCAACCATTCAGAAGTCACAAGCCGCTAAGCCATCCAGCGCCCGATGAAACACCAAGGTAACTCTCATCCGGCGTTACGCGACCCAAGTTGACCGGATCTCCGAGCTGAATTCTCGCGGCTAATGATACGCGATGATCCTCCGTGAAGCCAAACTTGTGAGCAACATCGATTAATCACCCATGCTGAAGCCGAAACAAGAGCTCAGGGGGGAAGGATCCGAACGCTATCGCTTTCCAAGACATCTCAGTCAGTCATTTCAAAAGAATTGAAGCTTCCTGTGCGTTGGTCTTAGCGAGAGTTTCGGCGGCTCTGGTTGCCATAGTCGATAGTTGCGGTTCAGTAACTCCGTCTTCATTTTCCGGCGTTCTTTCGACGTTTTGTTGTAAGAATATCGCTTCGGGCATCTCTGCCATGACCTTCTGCTGCTCGATACGAACTCGGTTGGAATAACTGGAGCAGAACCGTAGACTAGAAACGTCCCCGAGTTTCTCGAGAAAAAACATCAAACTACCAACAGTTTCCCTCACTATGCCTTCTTTGGCTCGAACTATTTTTCATCCCACTCCGCGCGATGCATGAAGCTGCTTCTTCTGACCCGGACGGAGGAGCAGCTGATGAACAACCGATAGCGGGGTCTGTAGTCAAAGCAGGCAGGAAAAGATGTCATCATCATGTTTCCATATTCTCGGAAATTTATACCGTACTCTAACTCTTACGCTCTACTTGTACTTGTAGAATTCTGCGATTCCGATCCAAATTAATCCTGTGAGCAAATACGCAATTATTCGCTCGCAGGAATACCTGAAGGACTAGAGCGTGATCCTGCGAGCGAAGTCGGAGAGTCTCCGCTCGGAATTGAGTCCAATTTTCCCGCGCATGTCGAATTGAGCAGGATATCTCCATGTAAAGCGGAGACGAATCCTTTTCGGGAACGGGATCTCCGCGGAGAGCTCTCGCTAGCCTATCATCGAGCGGACAGAGCATGGGACTGAACTCTTGATAGAGAGCATAAGGAATGGGATTCCTGCTCAAATAAGGGCTGTTCTGGTGTGCCCCTCGAATCGAGCTCGGTACCATTCGAATTTGGGTGGATTGAGTTCTCAGAGGAATGCTGGGCGCACTTCGTTCCGTATTCTATGCCCGCTTCTATCAGAACATCGATGCCGGCGGGAGTTCTCTGGACAACCGTCAAGGGTTATTCTCTGGAGTCGTAAGGGCGTCTGAGCGTGGAGTGAAATCGACTCATCAAACCGCGACCCCGAAACCAAGTGAGCTCCTTCGACGGTCGACAGCAGCCTTCAGTCAGTCCTGTCGTCCAAAAGAGACCCTATACCTTGGACAATATTCACTCAGCTCCTCTCGACCACACGATGGCCTCCGGAATATCGCTTCTATACTCCTCATTAGCGTCGAATCGGCACCGGCACACGGACGCGCCAGTAGATCAAGAATTCTCATTTAGAATATGCTTTTTGGTAGATGTATATCGGAGGATCGAGACGTCCAAAAATTCCTGAATGGAAACTTCTCGAGGGAGAGGAAACTCGAATCGATTCCTCCCGTTGGGAAAGAACAAATACTTCGAGAAGCTCTGAAGATTCACTAACCTTACTCGTTTTGGAAGCATCCCCACAAACGTGACATCGATTTCTCGCGCACAATCTGTCGATTTTCGATTTCACGGACATCTTCTACCTTCACGCGTCCTTGTTATTTCTCACCGAAAATCTTCATCAAAGCATCGACCCATTCGTCATCGAACATCGGGCAGATCTTTTCCGCGGAGGAGACTTCTCTTGCGTTGAGGACTCTCGATTCTAGTCAGAGCTCGACGCTGTGCTCTCTACTTCTCGACACACCATCGTCAGCATATGCGGGGCTTATTCTTCCATCGTAAATATCGATTGTTATTGTGGAACAAGACGAAGCCGATCTCAAAATATCAACTCTACCCTCTGCTAGGGGGATAGTTTCCACGCTGACCACAGAGGGAGCCACAAACCACAAAGCAGGGCTCGGTGCTGGAGGAAAACGCAGAAATAGATCGGAGCGGACAACAGCTCCTCGTAAGCGTGCGAAAGATCCGACAGATTTCACAGTCGAGACTTTTCCTAGGAATCACTCTTGCACTTAGAGAGCGGAGCCGGAGAAACTTGACGAGAGACTCATGGAGTCTCACTCGCGGAAATTCTCCCACTGAGAAAACCAACGAAGAATCTTCCACGAGGCACGATAAACTCTTCGTATTTTCCGCAGAAGTACTGTGCAGACTCCGACTCAGCCGCCAATTGACAACAAAAACTATTCTAAGCTTCGACGAGTATTCCGCTTAGAGGAAATCGAGATGTTCGCTGAGAAAACTCGATTCACATCCAGGTATGCTGCGTTGTACAACACCGACCGACGCGAGGATTACCACAGCCAAAAAACGTAATTCACAACACAGAAGGGTCGAAAACAGAAATTTCCGAAGGCATCGCAGTAACTGAAGGAGAGGGCGTATTCCGCATCCAAAACGGAATTTATCGCTCCTGCCCGCCAGCCTGGTCCTTATCCTGCATTGGTTTTCCACCAAGAATTCTCTGCGACTCGAAAACTAGCTGCTTCGGTTTATTCGAACACGCGCGAAATCATTGAATCGAGGAGCTTATCTGTACCGAGAAGCTGATCGAATGAGGCGGTTCTGATTCCTGTATATAATTGTCCGAGACCATAGAGAATCGGCTTAAAAGTTGCGAAATAGGAATGTCCTCTGAGCATCTATTTCTCAGTAATAATCAAATACCCATGAATAAAATGCCTGATAGGTTCCTATAGCAGTTGATCGAGCCCAGTATTCGAGCTCCAGAGACCTGAGTTTTTGTCGATCCGGCTGAGGAAATCGCTTAGACGCATAGGGACGAACGTCATGACCTCCATGATTATCTGGCGTTGGAACGGAAGGCTAATGCTTATTCTGAATCGCAAGATTCATCGATTGGGAGATCCATGGAAGTTTCAATCATATGACGTCCGGATGGAGTCCCTTCCGAATCTTTTTGATACAATAGAATTCTCGTGATATTTATGACGGCATTCTCTTTGATCTGTCCCAGAGATCACTAGCCAGCTATCTGTGTGGTTCGCCGCAGCTCGCCAGCTTTAGTACCATCCCATCGACATGATGGCGAAGTGCCGACAAAACTAGTTGAGTCACTCCGGAACGGCGGGCACTCATGATCATTGAGTTTCCAATCGATCATCATGGGATGGAGGTGAAATGTTTGAATTTCAATCAATATTCGGGTCAAGCGGCGGAGATGGCCACGACTACGCACACGACGGAAGGTTTTCGCCGGGGAATGTTCCACTCATCGCTACTCCCACGTGAGAATCGGTGACGAAATCCAAAGGAAAGCGATCATCCGAAGAATATCGACAACCCATTGGAGCGTAAAAAACTCAGATCGCGCCGCACGAATCCGAAAACCGCAGTCTACAAAAAAACGCCAGGTTGACCGGCGAAATCGGTAAGGTCGACCACCATGCGTTCGACATGGAATTCTCTCAGATGCATGGTTTTCTCCAATCCAATCATTGAAACTTCTTTTCCAACTTCGGCGGGCAAGATCGATGGGCTCACCAGTCAAAGAGGAAATGATCCTCCGATCGTCTTGTTGTGCTCGACCGTCCGATGACCAGAAATAGCGCGAAGCAGCCCCAACTCCCAGCGCGATTCGATTGCGGGCGCGGGGTGGAGCTTTAGCGTCACTGTGAGCTGAGCATTATGAGCTTTCGCTATCGATCGAGCCGAATCCCCGCGTGCGGAAGTGAAAGTCCTGATAGCAGCCAGTGTCCCACGTGCCCCTTCGGTCAGTGCGACGTCGAGTTGTCTGCGGCCATAAATTCTAGCTCCCACGCTATTTTCACGCGACGCTGGATGCCGATTTCTGTAGCAAACCTCATGTGTGTTCGCCCTTCCTCTGCTGTCGTTTCCGGAGCGAAAAGCGGTCTCGTCTCCTTTGAGCGACGCTCGTCCCGAATGTTCCAGAAGACTTCCGCTCGAGGAGACGTCAAAGTGGAGGATCGAAAAATTCGTGGTTTGACATCTATAATGACATCACGAAACTCATGAGAACCACGACGGAAGGAAAACGCTCGCAGGGAGCGACCGGGGAGCGAAAAGAAAATTGCAGAGAAGTCCGCCAACAAGTAAGAATGATAATAGATGAAATTGAGAGTGAAGATTCGCATGTCGAGGAACATCGGTGATTTTTCGAGTTGCTTCATCAACGAGCACGTCTTGGCCGCAGAACGTGAGATGCCCAAGTTTGGACGATTTCGCTCGCGCATACTCTCGGGATTTCGTTCTTCGTTCCAACAGATCAAGGTCTTCCGCGGTCGTGGTCAGCTACCGCGGTAAGGGATAATCATCGGGAAGGGCGCTGGAGTCAATACGACACTTCTCGGAACTCTGTCCGGATCCCGAGCTCCCGACGGCAAGTCACGAGAGCAACTTCGGGTTCAAATGCCTGAGACCTGCGTCGATCCAATTCTTCCTCACAGTCGAATTGAGCCGAGCCGTTTCGTAAGATAGCTCCACAAGTCAATACTCCGCTCCGACTGTCTGACTGTCGGGTAGCGGAAGATCGCTGGTTTGGCGGGGTGCGCGTAAGGATCCTCGCACGCTTCAGCAGTTTATTTTCCGATTGATCAATTTGATTTTTGTCACGATCCTGCGAGTTCGATCCTCGCAATTCCAGATTACATTTCGCAAAAGTGAGACATATTCCATCATCGGCGTCGATGTCGTTGCCACGACGCCGCACCGTCGGGGAAATCATGCCCTGGTATGAGTGAGGACGACTCGACTTCTATTGCATGTCGCCCTGACGACGAAAAGCATTCCGAATCGACTTCTTAGATTTAGGAGGACTGCTCTTTCGAATTTCCATCATTGGACGCTTTCCACCGGCCTGTTTTGAAGACTGTGAACTCTTCTCGTGTACGTTCCATTATGTGGTCAGCGGATTTCAAGAACTCCATCACACACTCGGAACTCCCACCATTTACCCAGCTAGCTTCATTGACCGAGTTCAATTCCATTTGCGTAGAGACCACTGTTCTCGGATTCCACATCGGGACAGGGCGAGCTTCGCTCTATCCGTCCTCTTCCCCCTCACCGAGTTCCAATCCTCATTTCTCTCTGAGTGGCTCGGGAGCTCTTGTGCACGCTCTTACTATCCCCAACGAAGTTCTTCCTATAGTCGGAGCTAGAGAGCGAACGCATCCGCCGGGCGGATACCTCCATGTTCTCTGAGCACCCCGCATTGAGCTCACGAGTTTCTGAAAACGCTGGTCCCGGGACCATTTCCGGTAAGCAGCGAGTCAAGTGCGGATGAATTGGATCCGGACGTGAGTCGATAAAAAAAGAATACGGATCGAAATCATTCATATCCGAGACCTGCCACCTGCGATGTTTGTTCCCTGTACACAGTGAAGATGTGTTTGCCCTACGATACGCAAGGGAAAAATGCCTCGACGAGCTTGCCCCACTTCGCCTATTGGCCGATGGACCGACGAACGCACTGACGTTCTGTCCATGTCCGATATACGTAAACAAAAATAAAGAGATCCCAATCGCCGTTCAGAATAGGGACGTTTCCCGAAAATTGAGGGTCAAAAAACAAGCTTGACAGCCCGGACGAACTTCCATCGGGATGACTTTCGGAGCTGATCTGTGCAGTGACTCATGGCGGCTTCTCGGAGAGGCTGCCTGCCTTGAGTGCTTTCATGATTCGTTTTCACTCACGGAATCGGAATCATCCTTCAATTCAGGGCCAAAACTCTCTAGGGATCCTTGCCAATAAAATAGAAGGAGGCTCCGCCGGATTCCACGACAATCAACGTCGAGTAGATCATGAATTGACACCTCGGTGATGAAGCCTCGATAGCCACGCGATAGCTTGACGAAGGCGTGAGGGGACTTGAACCGCGCGAGCGGGCAAACCAATCGGCAATCAGACGGAGCTACAGGGACGATCGATGAAATTGATCCGCGACCTCAGCTCGAGAGTTGACTGCGCGACGTAGATATTTTCCAAACCCACCCGAGTCTCTCATCCGAGAGGCAAAACAAATGAAAACGGTCATCATTGAAGCGTCACTTGAAGTGGAGCGTTCCGGCTTCTGCGAGCTGACTGACGACCAATGAAGATGATTGCATCATGGATCCACCGCTCCCATCTGTATGCCCAAGCGGGCAAACACGTACATATTCCACTCATCAGATGGTTTTTGGGGACCTCTGTAGGAATACCGTAATACACACATTCATAGATATTGTTGATATCCCGTGAAGCATCCGGGCGCTGTCGTATCATCTCGATTCGTCCCAAGCGAACAATGAATTCGCCGATCGCGTTTGACGGTCATTGTTTGTTGCTTGCCGTGTCGAGACTCGATTTGTTCGCGTGTCCAATCTCTCGTGTTCAAAAAAGAAGGAATATCAAAAACCGAATGATAATCGTTGCCCCCGCCGTCAGTAGCGATGTGCAATGCAGCTGCAAACTTGCGCAGTCGGCGACGTCTTCATCGCCGGAGAATCCGCCCCGGGAACAGTACCGGCATGGAACCGACAAAGGCAGATGCACCACCGGCGAAAGCAGCCGCCGCAACAGAGTAGGTTAAAAACCCAAAGCGCGAGGCATCTGTTATTTGGGAGGGAAAGACCGGGGGTTTTTGGCTCGGTTTGGATCATGGGAGACTCAATGT